CGCGCCTCTGCTCGCAAACACTCACCCATTGAATTGTCACTGCCCGTGAGTGCGAGATAGGGCTAGCAGTAGGCAGCTAGCCTGTGAGGAGGGCGTCCATAGACACCTCACTAGACCCCACATACGGTCTCGTCCGGGGACCCCAATGCCAACACCATCCGAAACGAGGAGAGAGAGTGGGCCTGAGCAACGACATGCATGACTTGGTTGGCGGCAAATGATCGGAGTGGGGGTCAGAAGATTCGTCCTTGTGCGAGGAGAGCTCGATAAACTCGAGGGGCCAAAATATGCTGCGAGCAGAGCGGACGTGAGCTGCGCCGAGAGTCCTCTTGTAGCTAGCTCGATCGGTCACACCGCCACCAACCACCGCCGACGTCTCCCACCCAGTGAGACGATGGAGAGGGGGGACGACACTGCTTCGGCAGCGTGCACCTCGATCCTGTACCGTGTTTGTTATGACCCCCCCCCCCCCATGAACACACCAGCGAGGGGGGGCGAGACGATCGAGGGAGTTAGACGTGCGGCCGCAGCTCGCCCGCCGCAGGCTCGGCGGTGCGCGCATGTTAGCGAGAAAGTTGCGGGTAGAGCACTTGGAGCACTTGGAGTGCAGTTATCAACCTCACATCCAAGGGCCGGGGAGCTGAGGAGCGCACCCAGCGGGCCGGATGATCGGTATCGGGTTACGGGCTAGAGAGCCCTAGCCCCGGGGGTGCGCGTTCGCAGGGAAAGGGCCATAAAGTAAACACAGGTCTCCGAGGGTTGGCCCCGCGTACCGGGTTTCCCCTTAACTGCAGGACGCCCCCTCTACTCGGAGCTAATGAACACCACACTGCACGCCCCACACCACCCCTCTACACTCACTTGCGTAGACGTTTGAGTAGACCCCCCCGCCTGAGGGCTCACCCCTCGCCTTCCCAGGGTCCCGACCCTCCTTGATTCGCTCTCTTGCTCGTCTCCCGAGCGCCATGCCCGACTTTTCGACGGCGAGGCCTCTGCGACGAGTGCCAGCCGCGCTGCGGAGCCATGCCCTTCGAGCCGCGTCCCGTCGGCACTGTCCCTGAGTGCGTCCCGCCTTGGCGGCACACACTCTCGACGAGGACAGTCCGGCCTACGAGAACGTGTCGCGCGCCGGCGACGATTGCGGCGTGGTGGTTCGAGTACGAAGCGACGATGGCACGACCACCGCCCTGCATCGCAGACCGGGCAAGGAGGGGCCTGCTCGCGATCCGCGGAACAGGTGGCCTTTCCCCCTCCCCCGGCCTGAGCAGCCACGGGTGGAAGGCAGCCCCTCGAGTCGAGGGCGGCGCGACCATTGCCGCTCTCCAATGATCAGAGACCCGGCCTGCGTCGCCCGCTGCCTCGCCGCGCCGCCGCCTCGCGCCGCCCGCCGCCGCGCCGCGCCGCCGCCCGAGGATTAATAATTAATAATCATTACCCGATGACTAATACTGTGTGTGTGTTTGTGTGTGTGAACAGACGTGCGTCTTGGTGCCGGGTTGTGTTTTTGTGTGAACAGACCGGTTGTGTTTTTGTGTGAACAGACGCGGTCCTTCGCCCAGTAAGAAGCGCTCGACCCCAAACGCAGAAAATCAATGTCCTATCGGGGCGAGGAGCGTCGCTGGCGTGATGAGCAACGGCGCGCCGAGTACGGACGCGAAGAGCGGCGATGGCGGGACGAGTCGCGACGGCGGTCGCGATCGCGCGATGAGCCGCGGCGGGATGAGCTGCGACGGCGCGACGAGCGTTGGCAAGGCGAGCAAGGGCGGCACCATGACGGGCGGCACGACGAGCGGCGCGGCTACAACGACTCTTGGTACAGTGGTCGCGAGCAGCGACGGCACGCTGAGCCAAAAAGGCCCGCTGAGCGATGCCGCGATGAGCCATTGCGAGGCGAACGACGGCCGCATCATGACGGGCGGCACGTTGAGCGGCGCGGCTGCAACGACCGACCAAGCATAGGCGAGCGCGAGCGCGACTTGTGCGATCGGCGCGATGATCGGCCCCACGATCCCAGGCGCGACCATGACCGGCGCGACCGCCGCGGCGAGGGGCAGCCTCAGCACAGCGACCGCCGGTGGAGTCCGCCGATGCGTGGTGCGGGATCGCGCGACGAGAGGCACACTGCTGCCGGTGGTCAGCTCAATGCTAAGCAGCTCAGCAGCCACATCTCGCATGCCAGCGGCGCCGACGAGCTGCTCACGCTCTTTGCTGCCCACAGTGCGAGCCTGAACCACATCCACGCTGCGAACCTGTGGAACAAACTGGGCAAGCAGCGCATCGAGCGGCGGCACGAGGGGCGGCTTGAGCAGCTGGTGCAGCGCACGCTCCACCTCGTCTCGTCGTGCGAAGCACGTAACCTGGCGAACATCACCCACGGCGTGGCAAAGTGCCGCCAGCAGGCGAGCGTGGTGCACCCGTTGTTCGTAGCGGTGGCGGAGGCGGCGGTGCGCGGCGGGCTGGCTGGCTTCAACCCTCAGAACCTGGCCAACACGGTGTGGGCGTATGCGACGGCGGGCGTGGCTGCGGACGCGCTGTACGCGGCGGTGGCGGAGGCGGCGGTGCGCGGCGGGCTGGCTGGCTTCAAGCCTCAGGAACTGGCCAACACGGTGTGGGCGTATGCGACGGCGGGCGTGGCTGCGGACGCGCTGTACGCGGCGGTGGCGGAGGCGGCGGTGCGCAGCGGGCTGGCTGGCTTCAAGCCTCAGGAACTGGCCAACACGGTGTGGGCGTATGCGACGGCGGGCGTGCCTGCGGACGCGCTGTACGCGGCGGTGGCGGAGGCGGCGGTGCGCGGCGGGCTGGCTGGCTTCAACCCTCAGAACCTGGCCAACACGGTGTGGGCGTATGCGACGGCAGGCGTGGCTGCGGACGCGCTGTACGCGGCGGTGGCGGAGGCGGCGGTGCGCGGCGGGCTGGCTGGCTTCAACCCTCAGGACCTGGCCAACACGGTGTGGGCGTATGCGACGGCGGGCGTGGCTGCGGACGCGCTGTACGCGGCGGTGGCGGAGGCGGCGGTGCGCGGCGGGCTGGCTGGCTTCAACCCTCAGGACCTGGCCAACACGGTGTGGGCGTATGCGACGGCGGGCGTGGCTGCGGACGCGCTGTACGCGGCGGTGGCGGAGGCGGCGGTGCGCGACGAGCTGGCCAGCTTCAACCCTCAGGATTTGGCCAACACGGTGTGGGCGTATGCGACGGCGGGCGTGGCTGCGGACGCGCTGTACGCGGCGGTGGCGGAGGCGGCGGTGCGCAGCGGGCTGGATCGCTTCAAGCCGCAGGAGCTGGCCAACACGGTGTGGGCGTATGCGACGGCGGGCGTGCCTGCGGACGCGCTGTACGCGGCGGTGGCGGAGGCGGCGGTGCGCGGCGGGCTGGCTGGCTTCAACCCTCAGGACCTGGCCAACACGGTGTGGGCGTATGCGACGGCGGGCCACTACCACCAGGTGCTGCTCGCAGACTGCTCGCGTGTGATCAGCGACTCGCTCGCGCGGGATCCGTCGAGGTGGGGCGTCGTGGACCGCTCTCAGCTGCACCAGTGGCAGCTCTGGCTCTCCCTTGAGCGAGGAGCAGACGGGCAGCAGCACCTTCTCTCCGAGTCCCAGCGCAAGCTCTGCTGCGACGCCATGCAAAATACGCAAGTGACGATCTCTGAGTTCCAACGCTCCATTGCGGCTGCCCTCGCCGCCGTCCAGCACGGCTTCGAGGAGGAGCATCTCGAGCCGAGCACCGGCTACTCGCTCGACCTGGCGCTGCCCTCATCACGCGTCGCGGTCGAGGTGGACGGCCCCTCTCACTTCCTGCTGCCCGACGGCCGGGGCGTGCGCAAACCCAACGGGCCGACGCTGCTCAAGCGGCGCCTCCTCACAGCGGCTGGCTGGAGGGTGATCAGCGTTCCATTCTACGAGTGGAACGGCTTCGCGACTGCCAGTGAGAGGCACACCTACCTGCAGAGGCTGTTGGGCTAGTACTGTGCCGCCACGAGCGCCGCGACCACCTCGCCACGCTCTCGACCGAGAGCCGCCTAAACGCCGCCTCCGCGGCCGCCCCACGCGTACCGAGACCCTCTGGCCTCGACAAGAGCAGCTTGATAGCGGGATAGCCGCCAGCGCCGACTTCCTCCTAGCTCGCACTCGGTGTCCCCCACCAAGTGTCGCCGTTCTCGGGGCATGCTATCCTGTGTAAGCAGGGCAGGCGGGGGGCGGGGGGCAGTCCCCCTGGTCTGATACTGGGATGTGGGTGTCTCTAGCGTCGGAGGCAAAGGGAGAAGAATAAGAAATTTATTTTTTTGTAGTCTGTGGACATACGACTCACGGCTCACAATTCGAGATCACAAGGATACGCAAATCGGCTTTTGTTGCACGCACATGAACATGTGCATGTGCATGGACACGGCATGTGAAAACACCCACCACGCCGGATAAAGGGTGTGGATGCTGGGTTGACGGAAATCGAGGGACGCGACCCACCTCGCCACAGTCCACAGACGGTCCCGCGCCTCGCCGCTAAGTTTGCGGCACGCCCCGCACCGTCCGCTGTGCCGCGTTTTTTGTCCGGAGTGAAAAGTCCAACGCGCTCGTCGGTGGCGGCTTCCCTCAACCTGCGCCGCGCTCGGCGAACCTCGACAGCGCCTTCGGTGGCATGCAGCTCTTTGCGACAGAAGCCTGGAGAGCAGCTCCTCTGCTGCTCACACACTCTGCACAGTTGACACAGCCTACTGTGCGGCTGCCACAGCTGTGACAGCGATGGGCTCGCCCTCACTGGCCCTCAGTCACTTGTGCTGCGGCTTGTGTGAGCGACACTGCTCAGCGACTGCCGGCACACTGTGAGACCATGGGTGTGAGGTAAAACCACGCTACCAGCGCTTGGTCACATCGGCCCCGAGGTCAGATCCATCTACTCTGTTGATGACAAGACTTGTCTACCGGCTGGAGCCGAGCAGGAGGGCCCGGCGCACAACCCCTTGGTCAACTCACCCTCCACACCCCGTCTGCGATTTCGAGACATCATCCTACGAGTCCGATTGGTGTGCCAATAACGTTGAAGAAAGAGGCCTTGTCGACCCCAACCGCCGACGTGAAGTCGCACTCGTTGATGTCGGCTGCGTGGAAAGTGGCATCGGTCAAGATGGTCTGGCGGAATGAGGCCCCGTCGAGCAGCGCCCTGGTGAAGTCGGCGACGTTCATCTTGCTGTTTTCAAAGGATGCCCCGGTCGCCTTGGCCCCTTCGAGCTGCAGCTCCTGCAGCATGGCGTTGGTGAAGCGCGCGTACCCGAGGTCGGCGCCCTGCAGGCGGCACGGCCCGTTCATGTTGACGCCGTCGAAGTTGACACCGACCAGGAAGGCGTTCGTCAGCCACGAGTCGACGAAGGCCATCCCCCGGGTCTGCACCCCCTGCCAGTACGACCCACTCAACCTCCACGCGGACGTCGCGCAGGTTCGTCTCGATGAAGGAGGCCTGCGTGCCGTACAGTCGGAGGGGCGGGAGTCGGGGGCGGGAAAGGACGTGCGCGGGGCCGCGGTCGCGTGTGGTGGTGATTTGGGGGCCGCGAGGGCAGGGCGGCGGTGGAGCGTGCTGCATCAACGAGTCGATGTGCGATGATGTGGAGGTGTGAATGGGAGGTGTGAATAGAGAGCCTGCTGCATGGACGAGTCGGTGATGGAGGTGCCCTCAAGGTTCGCGCGGTCGAAGCTGACGCCCTTCGCTTTGGTGATCAGCGTGAGCACTGCTCACAGGCGGCACGGTGTGAACAGCGCCTCTTCACGGCAAGCGGGCGCGCCTCGGCTCTTCTGCGCCCGCGAGCCGCATGTCCGCGCTCTGGAAAGAGGTGCCTGCGAAGAGGTGTTGTGCTGGTGAAGGGCGCCGGCGCACGGATAAGCGCCGCTGAGAGAGGAACGGGCGACGGGCCTGAGAGCGTCGAGTAGATGAAATTCGCACCCGCTTGGGGGTCGCTGGGCTCACGCCGGTGCCCAACTGCGCCTCCGTAAGGTAAGGACGACCCCACGCCGCAGGTCTGCCCGCTCAAAGACGGCGCCTAGGGAGGGGTCGCCGGAACGGGCGTCGCTCATCTCTCGCTCTCATCGCCCCACAGCGCTGCCCGCGAGTCGCGGGGGCACCGGTGAGGTCTGCCCCCTGCAGGTCAGCCTTGACCATCTTTGCGCCCCGGAACGAGGCGGCGTTCGCCTGCGTCGGCAAACCAGTCTCGTGCTCTGTGGCGAGCAGAGCCGTCTCGGGTGTGGCATGTGGTCAAGGAGTGGAGCAGGGCCTGCGCCCCGAGAAAGCTGGCCGTCTCCAAGTCGGCGCGCAGCTCTACATCCGCGATCCGCCGCGTGACGAACTGCCTGCTTTGTAGAGCGATGTAGAGCGCGATTTTGCTGTTAGTAGAGTTTGTTCTCTGGCGTCATGACCAGCCTGACATGCGTCGCGCCGGTGCCGCATTCGTCGCTGTGCTTCTTTAGCAGGCGGTGGACTGTCGGCTGCGAGGACGGTCGCATTTGCGCGAGGCGAGGCGAGCATTGCTGCGCGCGTTGCATGCGCCATGACTCGCGCCAGCGCGTGCGGGAGCTCCTGGCTGAGCGTTGAGTCCAGGCGAGTTGCGCTGGCCACGATCGCTACGCCGAGCTGAGCTGACGCGCCGAGGCGCCGGCCAGTCGCAGCCGTGAGGCATGCCACAGCAGCAGCGGCACCTGCCACCCATTGGGCGGGCAGACAGAAGGCCAGGGCAGCACTGGCAAAAGTGCAACGCGCCTCATGTCGGAGAGCGACCGTGCCTCGTTCGCCGCTCATGGTAGAGTTTGTTGTAGAGCTCTAAAGATTTCACGTTGTGTAGAGCGCCTCTACATCGCTCTACAACAGGCCTCTACAGGTCGTACAGCGCTCTACAGCTCTATAGCGCTCAGCCATCTCTATACAGCTCTACAGGTACAGCGCGCTCTACACTCTACAACCACACATCCTCCACACCCTCCCCCTGAGGATTTCTTCTGCGAAGAAACGTTCAAAACACTCGGTGTCGAAACACCGCTCTCCGACGCGCTCGACAATAGTCTTGCATTTTTTAACTTACAGCTCTGTTCTCTCTCTCTACCCGCCCGGCAACGCCGAGGCGACCCCCGTCTCCATGACGAGCGCCGTCGCGTTCCGCACGCGTTCCGCGCCTCCGCTCCCCGCGCCGACCCGGCGAGCGCACTCGCCTCGCAGCTGACCGCGCGCCGCCTCGAGCGTCGCCGGCAGCGCAGCCATCTCGTTGGTAAAGTTGGCCGGGCGGCTCGCGAGGCGGCTGCCCAGCCCTGCGAGCCAAGTGGTGTGGCTGTAGTCCTGCGGCTGCGTCTGGGGGTACGTGCCGTCGAGCAACGACTTGGCCGCCTGCGCTCGTCTCACCAGCACGAGGGCGCCCGCAGAGGCGGCGGCGGCCGGGTCGTCGCGCGGGCTCAGGAGCGGCGCGAGCACCGTCGCCGCGAGTCGCGCCGCCCGCTCGTCGTCGAACCGCAGCGTCAGCTCCGCCGACGTGCCGGCGGGCAAGTCGAACAGCCAGACAACCACGCAGAGCAACTCGGCGTCGAAGTACCAGAGCGGAGAGGAGCGCTCGCCCGCACGGCGCCGCCGCTCCACCGTCGGAGGGTCGGCGAACATCACCGCAGTCTCCGCCGCGCCGCCGCGGGGCTGCTGCGCTCGCACCGAGGCGTGGGTGGGCGGGGGCACGCCGTGCAACAGGAGCCGCCACGAGCGCCGCCCTATTACTTAGTCATTGGCCATCAACAGTCAACAGCAGGAGGAGGCCGCCACGGGCGCCGCCCGCCTCCGTCCCCAGTCGGGCGAGGCAAGCCGGGCTCTATCCGCTCCTCCGGCGCGTCGCTCGCAAAGAGGCAGCCTCGCGACGCGCCGATCACGACGCGCAAGCCTGCCCCCCCGCCGCCCCCCCCGCCGCCCGCCTCGTCCCCGCTCGCGTGGGCCCACTCCCACTCGACCCGCGTCCAGCTGGAGTGCTCGCCGCCCTTCTGCTCAGCCGCGTACCGGCCGCTCCAGCCGTCGTCCTCATACAAGTCTCCAGACCCGCCGCCGTACAAGTCTCCCGACCCGCCGCCGGCCGACGGAGCGGGCGGCGGCAGCCAGATGGCCACCTGCGGGCAGCGCGGCACGTGCTGCGCGCGGCCTACCCAGCCCCTCGTGCCCGCGCCGCAGTGCTCCCACTCGCTCTCGACGGGCGGCTGGCCGAATACGACAGCGCCGCCCTTTGCGAGGATGGGGATCTCGTCTAGCGCCTGGAAGGTTCAGAGAAGGTTCAGGGAAGATTCCCGCCCTTTGCGAGGATGGGGATCTCGTCTAGCGCCGCCGCCAGCGAGAGCGCGCGCGGCCCCTCGACGCGCAGCATCGAGTGCGTCAGCACCCACAGCCCCGGAGGCACCTGCAGGCGGGTACCGAGGAGGCTTGAAGGGAGGGCCCCGAGGGCGCCCCCGCAGCCCCGGGGCGCACCCACAGCCGCGCGCCCCGAGCGAGCGGCGCGTCCGCGCTCGAGCGGTGCGTCACCGGCGCGACTACCTACAGGACCGCTCCGAGAGGGCTCCAAGACAGCCCGCTGCTCGAGCGGCGCGTCAGGTGCGCGACGGCCAGCGACTGTCCCGCGCCGAAGAGGTACTCGCCTCCGAAGTCGTACGCGGGCTGCAGGCCAGGCCACTCGTGGTAGAGGGGCCGGACAGGCGATGGCCCGCCGTCGTACGCTGCGCGGGCGGCGGTGTACAGGTGCGGGACCAGCTCCGCCCGGAGCCGCAGCGCGCTCCGCATCGCGACAAAAGCCGCCTCGTCGAAGAGCCAGAAGCGCCTCTCGTGCAGAGGGTCGCGGAAGCCGTGCGCACGGAAGACTGGCGAGAGGCTGCCCAGCTGCACCCATCGCACGTACAGCTCCGGCTCGACCCGATCGAAGAAGCCGCCGATGTCGTGGGACCAGTAGCCGAAGGCGACGTTGGCGGCGCTCGCCGTGAAGCCGGGCTGGAAAGCGAGGCTCTCCCACGTCGACTTCGTGTCGCCGCTGAAGCCGATCGGGTAGCGCTGGTTGCCGAGCCCGCCCCAGCGGTGCATGATGAGGCGTCGCCGCTGGGCAGAGGCCGGTGTCGCGCGCCCGTCGGGCTGGGTGGAGTAGACATAGTTGAGCCAGAAGGTTGGGTTTACCTCTGGCGTCTCGGAGCCGCCGAAGAAGTGCTCTCCTTTGTGGGGGGCGTGGGTGGAGAGGCGGGGTCAGGCGGCGAAGCAGCGGTGAAGGGCCGTGGCTTGGAGCTCGCCTCGCTGCCAGTACAGCAACCGTCTCTCCCCGTCTCTCCCCATCTCTCCCCACCTCTCCCCACCTCTCCCCACCTCTCCGCATCTCTCCCCACCTCTCCCCGTGCCTCGCCTTGCTGCCAGTCGAGCCACCAAAAGTCGACGCCGAGCCGCTCGAGCGGGGCGAGCACGTGGGTGTGGAAGTGGGAGGAGTAGGTTCGGTTCAGCGGGTCGAAGGCAGCGTACTCGGCGTCGGGCGGCAGCCTACAGGACGGTTCCGAGAAGGTTCCGAGGTGGTTGCGTGCAGAGAGACGGAGCGCGGCGCCGGTGCCCCATCGCGGCTCGGAAAGCCTCCCACCGGTCGGCATCCTCCTCCGCCTTGACCAGCCCGCTCTGAAAGTGGAGGTTCAGGCCATTGTGCACGCCGGCCGCCTTGCACCAGCCGAGAAAGGCGGGCGGGTCCGGGAAGTACCTACCCGCAGGCCCGAGCCGGGGCTCAGCGTCGGGTCGCTGCAGCGCGGCGAGTCGAGCGGCTCGGACAAGACTTCTTGTCGAACGAGAAGCCCGACCAGCACGGCCAGTTGTGCGACGCGTCCATCGACTTCTCGCTCTCGTTGCCGTACGTGCGCCGGTAGCAGGTGTGGTGCCAGTCCATGTCGGTGACGAGCACGTCCGCAGGCACGCCCCGCGCCTCGAACTCGCGGAGGAGCCCCGCCGCCTGGGAGAGGAGTCGGAGACGGCTCAGAGAGAAGGGCCCCGCCTCCCCACACCTCCCCACTCCCCACACCGCCCCACACTCCCCACATCTCCCTCTCGCGGGCGGCTGCCCCCCTCGCGCCTCCCAGTCCGCCCACGGCCACCACCGCGAGAACCAGACGCCGAACGCGTAGCGCGGGGGGATTGGCTGCGGACCTGCGGCACGTGCCACGGGGACGGGTCCTGGTCCTGCCTCGGAGGGCGAGAGGAAGGGAGGGCGAGAGGAAGGAGGGCGAGGAAGGAGGGCGTCGCACGCCGCTCAAGGCCGCAAAGTCGCGCAGCGCAGACGCGTAGTCAAGGCCCGCCGCGAACAAGTACCAGTCGAGGCGGAGCAAGGCCTCGCCCGACGCCTGCCCACCGCGAGGCCCCGTGAGAGGCGCTGGCCACAGAGGCGGGGACAGGGCCTCGCACGAACGCCTCGGAGGCAACGGCGGCCGCCCTCGCCTCGGCGCGGCCGCACGCCGCCCTGCACGCGCCCTGCATGAAGGCGCGGTTCGCCTCGCGACGTGTCATGGACGTGTCATGGACGTGTCATGGACGTGTCATGGACATGACCTGCAGAAGGCGCGGCTCGCCTCGCACTCTCCCCCGCGAGCCCACTGCTCGCAGCGAGGGTCGCCGTCGGCTGCGCGCGCCTGCGGGGGCGTGTCGTGGGCACGTCGGGGACGCGTCGTCATCTCGTCTCGGGTCGCCGTCGGCAGCGTTCGCCGCTCGCTCGACCTCGAGCCGCTCGGGGTCCCGCGCCGCAACCCAGTCCCACTGCGCCGCCGCGCCGTCGAAGCGGGCGCTGAGCGAGTCGTCGAGCAGCGCCTGAGGGACATGTCCAGGAAAGGTCGAGGAAAGTCTAGGAAGGGTGAGCGAGTCGTCGAGCAGCGCCTGAGGGACATGTCCAGGAAAGGTCGAGGAAAGTCTAGGAAGGGTGAGCGAGTCGTCGAGCAGCGCCTGAGGGACATGTCCAGGAAAGGTCGAGGAAAGTCTAGGAAGGGTGAGCGAGTCGTCGAGGAGCGCCTGAGGGACATGTCCAGGAAAGGTCGAGGAAAGTCTAGGAAGGGTGAGCGAGTCGTCGAGCAGCGCCTGAGGGACATGTCCAGGAAAGGTCGAGGAAAGTCTAGGAAGGGTGAGCGAGTCGTCGAGGAGCGCCTGAGGGACATGTCCAGGAAAGGTCGAGGAAAGTCTAGGAAGGGTGAGCGAGTCGTCGAGGAGCGCCTGAGGGACACGAGGGACGGGTGGCGACGAGGGACGGGTCGCGACGTGTCGTGATGGGTCTCGAGCGGCTAGACACCCAGCCGCTGCGAGAGATCACGCCCATGGCGCAGTGCGCGTCGTTCTCTCGGCCGGAGCGCTGGTCGACCGGCAGCCGATCGCAGCGGAGCTCGGTCGCGCCGTCCACCTTGTCCAGCGTGCGGACGGTGCCTGGCAGCTGATCCGGGTTCGGCAGGCCCGGATGCCACTCCGAGCTCCGATCGCCGTCGAGAGCCAGCCGCACCCGCAGCGTGGCGGAGGACAGCCGAGGCGCCGGCCAGTCCGCGACCAGACCTTTGGGAAGGTTCCAGGAAGTCAGGGAAGGCTCCGTCGCAGCCAGCCAGTGCGCAGCGCCGGACCGGCAGCCCCACGAGTGATCTGCGCCGCCGTCGCGTTGGCCGGAGCCGAGAGCTCCAGTCGCAGCTGCGCCGTGGTCAGCACGAGGCAGCGGTGGGCCGAGAGGAGCTGGCAGTCGCTGCTGAGCGTTGCCTTGTGCGATGGCACGGGCAGGTAGCGATTCACAATCGCAAAGCTGCTGCGTTCGTCGAAGCGCTCCCGCGGGTTGCGCCGCTGCTCGATGCGGAGCGTGCGAGCTGTGAGGACGGTCAAGCGAACCGTCTCGCCCACTCTGATCACGGACGATGCGTTTGCGATTGGGTTGAAGGGCGGAGCTGCCCGCTGGCGAATGGTGCCGGCCGCATGAGGGTCGCACGCTGCAGTGCTGGTATGAGGCGGAGACGTGGCGGCGGCGTGCCGACGGATATCGCGCGCTGAGACAATGCCGTCCAGGTCCACGTCCAAATCGCCGACGGGAGAGAGGGACGTGAGGTATGTGGCGTTGAGCAGGAGCAGCAGCGCCGCCGTGCCAATAAGAACCGCAAAAATGTGTTGCAGCGAAAGGCGGCTATTGCTGGCGGAGCCTGGCGGCGCTCGCATCGTTGCTGGCGTCCCTGCGGCGCGGCGATGCGTCGCGATGTCCTGACCGAGCCGGCAGCGGACTTTTTGCGGGGTATGGTATGGTAGCATCGTGCAACCCACCTCGAGACCATACCCCCCGCCTGCTGACAGACCCAGCCTCCCGGAGACCGGGGATGGGCGGTCAGGACCATACCCCGCAAAAAGTTGGAACCCAGACTAGCCGCGATTTCATCGCTTTCTTTTTCTTTTTTCACGTACGGGACGCTCGTTGACAATGGCGACGCGTTGCAGCGGCACGTTCATCGACGCTGGTGCCAACAGTGGCGACTCTTTGCATATGTGGTACACAGCCGAGTCGTGCGCTACCACGCCGCATGCGCTGCGCCGCAAACCGTGCGCCTGGCAGTGGCCATGGTGGCTGCCTCTGAGCGTGCGGCTGTCGTACTGTGCTCTCGCGTATGAACCCAACCCGCAGCTTGCAGAGAATCCTGCACACTGCTGCTGCCTTGCCGCGGCACAAGCTGGGCGTGCACATTGAGGTTTTCAACGGCACTGCCTTCGCCGAGCTTGACGGCACCGCGATGTTCGGCCTCGACAGCACGACCAGGAACGCTAAGGGGTCGTCCCTCATGCTCCACAAGCGCACCAAGACTCGCGAGGGGTTGGGGCGCGGGCCAGCGGTGGGCGAAAACAGAGTGCGCGTGCGGACGGTGAACGCACTCAGCGTGATCCGTCACGCGCCGCCTGGGCCGGTCGCGCTCAAAATTGACGTTGAGGGGTATGAGGGGCGGCTCATGCGCAACCTCCTCCTCTCGGGCGTGCTGTGTCAGCGCGTGCAGAATCTGTTCGTGGAGTGGCATCCGATGGCAAGCCAGGTTGACAAGCGCGATCTGCACCACCCGGATGAAGACATCGAGATGCCCCCCCAAACGATGGCAGTGTACAAGCGGATGCTGAGCACCTTCAATCCAAAGGCGAAAGCACTAGGGCGTAACTGGCAACCGCTTGCCGACAGCTCGTTCGTGTAAATTGACACTGTTGAATTGGAGTTGATCGGACAGACGGCGTGCAACATTCACACAGCATGTGGTGCCGTACACAAGATCATGCCAAGCTTAATACAACATGGTACATGCACATGCAGAGAGAGAGATTTTTAGAAGCCAACAAGAAATGTGTCACACAGAGTGATTTGCGCTCGGCAGCTTGTCGACTACCAGCCGGAGCCGGAGTCGGAACCGTAGCCGAGATGGTCTTCGAGGGTGTCGAATATGTCATTCGCCTCGCTAGTGGAGCCGGTGCCGCATGAGTCGCGGTCGGAGGAGGAGTCGTCGGAGGAGCGGCCGGAGAACTCGCGCTTGTCGCGCCTGATGCGCTCTGCGCCGAAAATGGAGAACTTGATGCGCTCTGCGAGGGGGCCGGGGTCCTAGCCGGGGTCGTGGTCGTCGTGCTCGAGCGTCGGGTAGGTAGCGCGCCTTGCGACTTTGTCGGCCGAGCTGCCATCCCAGTAGAAGGTATACCAGTCGCCGCGGGGGTAGAACCAAGCGTTGACCAATCTGTACCGTCCGAGAGCGGCCGCCTGAGCGGCCTGAGCAGCCGCCTGAGCAGCCGCCTCTGCAGCGGCCGCCGCCGCCGCAGCCTTCTGCGCCGCCGCCTGTGCGGCCTTGAAGCGCTTCTTGCCTTGTTTTGCCTTCTTCTTGGTGCCCATCGAGGTGTCATCAAGTGACTGGCTGGCCCGCCAGAGGTCGTGCTCTGGACGGCTGGGGCAGGGCGACTCACGGGGGAGGAGGGGGACGAGGGCGGAGGCAGGCACAGCTGCTCTCCGGTGGCCTCGCGTTGGTGGCGGAACCCGATGGTTCCGTCGCAGCCGCGCACTGTGCCGTAAGGGTTGTAGATTTCGAGAGGGAAACGGGCCAACGCTTCCGAGAAGGGGAGAGGAAGACTTGTGGAGCGTAAACAGTAGATGAAATCGACGACGTAGCCGCCGCCGCGCCGCCGCCCGCCCTCGTGGCCGCCATAGACGCGGCTGAGGAAGAGGTCGGCGGTGCGCCCGCTAGGCGGGCAGGCCTTGAAGAAATTGGTCAGAGAAGTGCGAGTGTTGAGGCCGCGCGCAGCGGCCTGTATCTTGGTGATGAGGATCGTGATGATGATGGTGCCCTTGTTCAGCAGGAACGCGCGCATCGCCCGCTGAACGCGGGTCGCTGCGGCTTCCTGTGCGAACCCCAGTCGGATGTTCCGCAGCGTGGAGGTCATTGCTGCGATGTCGTCATGCCCAGCAGCCACCCCAGCCTCGCCAAAGGCGCCAGCGAGGCTGGGCAAGCCCGACAGCTCTGGCGAGCCAACGCGGCCGGCAGCCGGCCCACCTGGGTTCGAACTGGAGGCCAGTCGATCGCAGCCGGGCGCTGACCCGACCGAGCCAGGCGAGGAGTGTTGTGGCTCTGGTCGATTCGGTGCCTCATAAAGCGTCGGCGAGATTGAAAGTTTTTGCAGCACGAATCCGACGCGCTCCGTCTCGTCGGCGCCATGAGGCCGTCTGAGACCGTGGAGACGAGGCCGGGCGCAGCCGTGGCCGACCGCGCGGCGGCGCCGGACAAGGCGAGCGAGAGCGAAGCGACCAGCTGATAAGGAGGACTTCTCTCTCACATGCATGAACATGAACATGAACATGAACATGAACATGACATGCATGTGCACATGATCATGTGCGTTCCCAGAAAGAACGAAAGAAAAGCGGCATGGCATGGGAGGGATGGGAGGACGGCACGCCGCCACTGCACATAAAATTCTTTTTCTGCGCAGAGCTCGGTTGTCTTCGCTCGGCTTCAGCAGCGCGGCCTGGCGCCTCCTCGCCTAAGTCGCCAGACTCGCTCGCCTGGCGCCTCCTCGCCTAAGTCGCCAGACTCGCTCGGAGGGCGTGTCGACGACGCGGCACTCGTCGCGATGCTGCTGCTGCTGCCAATCGCCGTCAACGCCCTGCTCGCTCTGGCGCCGCTGCAAGCCAGGCCGCTTCTCGCATGCCGAGCTGACCATGCTGGTCGCCGGAACCCGGTCCGGTGGCATGCCGGTCGCATGACGGCAATGGACCCGGAAGCAGAGGCGTTGCCTGACGCGCCAATACCCGGCTTGACGACTGTGAGCGCCAACGAGCACGGCCCGTCCGGCGCTGTCCCTGCGGCGGATGAGTGTCCGCCGGAAGATGTGACCGCCCTGGAGCTGCTTCGCTTCACGCTGCCCGTCCTCACCGCTGCTCTCTCGGCCGAGATCATGTCGGTCGTCGACACTGCCGTTGTTGGTACGCTCGGACCGCAGCAGCTCGCTGCTCTCGGCCCGGCGACGATGCTCTCCGACTCTACGGTCTACCTCTTCTTCTGCAACGTGGCGTGCACCAACCTGTTCGCCACGCACTTTGCTCGCGGCGCGCAGAACGACGCCTTCGCCTGCCGAAGGCGGTCCGAGAAGGGTTCTGTGGAGTGTTCCTGTAGGCGAGCACCGGGACGCCTTCGCCGTGCTGAGCGACGCACTGTACGTGAGCCTGGCCTGCGCCGCGCTGCTTGTCGTGGGGCTGTCGTGGGGAGGCGGCGCGGCGCTCGCTCGGATCTGTGCGATGGCGCCCGGCGCTCTGCCTGGCGCGAAGCAGTATTTGGCGCGATCCGCATCCTCGGCGTGCTTGCCCTGCTGACAGAGGAGGGTTCCGAGAAGCTTCGTGGACTCTTCCTGCAGGCGATCCGCATCCTCGGCGTGCTTGCCCTGCTGACAGAGGAGGGTTCCGAGAAGCTTCGTGGACTCTTCCTGCAGGCGATCCGCATCCTCGGCGTGCCTGCCCTGATGACGGCGACGGTGCTGCAGGGGGCGTGCACCGGCATGAAGGACGCCACGACTCCCTTCATCGCAATCGTGCTGGGCGGGCTGCTCAACCTCGCCCTCGACCTCTGGCTCGTCCTCGGCTGCGGGATGGGCATCGCAGGCGCCGCCTCCGCGACCGTCGTCTCGCAGGCCGCGCAACGCTGCTGCTGCTGCTCGAACGGCGAAGGCTGCTCACTCCTGCTGCCTGCCCTGCCTCGCAGGTGGTCCAAGTGCTCGTCCTCGCAGTCATCGTCAAGCGCAAGCGCAGCCGCCTCGTGCCTGGCGTCACCGCGCCGACCCTGCTGCAGCGGCCTCCGTCTCCCGCCCGCCTCGTCGACTTCCTCTCGTTTGCTGGCCCGATCTTCTGCGTGCTCATCGGCACGCCCCTCGTGCTGCCCCTCGGTGCCGCTGGACTGTCTCTGAGCCGTCTCTGCGCCGCACCTAGGCAAGATTTCGTGCTACAACTCGATGACGCTCGCCGCGACGGCGGGTGGAGTTGTGGCGCTGGCGGGCCACCAGGCCAGCGGCAGAACCGTCTTCTGCCTCGGAGCGGCAGGCTGAGTCTCGCGACACGGAGGTTGCCATCAGGTGGTTGCGACCGTTTTCTTTCTGGGCTGCAAATTCGGCGACGCGATCTCGCAGACAGCGCAGGCGTGCTTGCCGCGCTCTTTGGAGGCGTCTCCGGCGTCTCCGGACCGTCTCTCTGACAGATCTTCCTCTTGCGCCAGGCGTACTTGCCTGCGTGCTTGCCTGCGGCGGCGAGGATGCGGCCGGGCGGGGCGCCGGAGAAGGGTGCGGTGGAGCTGAGCCGCAAGCTGTTGCTGGTGAGCATGCTGCTCGGCGGCGCTGTGTCGCTCGCAGCGGTTGGGGGGACTGCGCTCGGTTGCTGAACCCCTCCCTCTGCCATTTGGCCGGAAGCTGTCTTGGCCCTTCCTAGGTTGGGGTCGTGCTCGGCTGCTCCGGCGTCTTCACTCAGGACGCGGCGGTGGCGGCGGCGATGGCGACGGTGGCCCCGCTGCTTGGCGTCGCTCTCTCGATCCACCCGGCCGCCGCCAGGCTCGAGGCCCGGCTCTGCTCGACGAAGCGTCTACGAACTTTCTACGAGCCTCCGTAGGCGACCATGTGCCTCGAGGGCCGCAGAGTGACACGGGTGTTCGTACTGCCCGCCCGGCGTCGCGGTTGGGGTTGCGCGGGTTTGGGGTGTGATGGGGTCGCTGCCACTTGTCGGTGGGAGGGTGCAGTGTCACATCGTCGTGCATGTTGCGAAATGGGTCGTGCTGGATATGCGTATCCACAAGGTTCAGAACAGCCAGGCTCGTACAGGTAGAGGTAGGTAGAAAGGTGAAGAACAGCCAGCTGCCAGGCCGTCGGCTTCCTCGCGGGCGCGTACGCCGCCAATGTGCTCGTTTTCCTCACGTCGCTGTACGCCATCGCGAGACGCGCACTCGGCCTTCGGTATGTGTGGGCGGCGCTCGCCGCTTTCCAGCTGGTGCGCGTCTGCGAGTTCGCGACGCGCGTGCGCGCCGTCGGGCTGCTGGACTCGCTCCTTCCAGCTTGGCTGCGGCGGCGCGCAGCGTCGCCAGCGACCGAGTGATGCACAGGCCGCGCCGATGCGGATCCGTACGTCAGTACGCCCGGGTACATTCATGTATCATAATGAGGGTCACGGTTGTTGCACCATGCACGGTGGGTTGCGTGTGTGGCGCCTTTCATGGGTTTGCACTCTTGCACATTGCAGTTTCCCACAGCTCATAAGCTCTGAATTGCTTCTTCTCGGGTCCGTTGGCCTCTTTCGTAGGGAAGAATTTTGATACCCGTCAAGACGCCTGCTGTTCGACGAGGAGAGAGGGAGCGCGCACAGACTGACGTCAGCTCTGCTCCTGAAGTACACCTCTGAAAGACACCTTCAGAGGTGTGGTGCACCTCTGAGGCACCTCAGAGGAAACGCTGCACTTCTTTTATCGATCTCGTCGCCAGACTCCGATTTCTCTTTGTCGGGCCATGTGCCGCTCGCTCGTCCGCCCAAGTGACTCGGACGCGCGGTCGAGGGCACCCCACCGTTCCTGGGGCGCGCTGGCGCTCGCCCGCAATCGTCCCCCACCCATCCACCCTTTTGTCTTTGAGGCTGTCGCTCCGAGAAAACTTGTCTCGCAGCTCGTGCGAGAAATTACCATGCATCTTGGGATGCTCGAGGCAATCGAAATTAGAATGGAAATCGTATCGGGCAATTTCAGATGCCTCACAGCATCTCAAATTGCGGGTTCCCCGCCCCTGACGTACGCAGCTCGAGTCAGTACTGTACGTATTAGCTCTATTACTCTGGCTTGCTCTCTCTCGCTCTCTGTGAGTGTGACCGCGCAGCCATGAGCCATCTCCAAAGTCTCACGCCGCACTCGGACGCGGCCCCCCCATGCACGCGCCGCTCATTCCTCGTGCTGCGGCACTGGGTCGGCGATCGGAGCCGCTGCTGCGACCTGCACCTCTCCGCCCCGGCTGTAGCGTACCCCCCTCGCCTCCTCGCACGCGCTCTCCGCCAGCGTCTGCGCCACGCACTGAGCCACCTCCGAGCAGGCGCGTCCGAGCCGCAGGTGGTTGGGCTTGCGCTGGAAGGGGCTCGAGCACTCGACGGCGGCAGCCTCGATGCCGAGCAGGGCCCACGAGGTGAGGAGCAGGCCTAGGGGACGCGTCCGGGACATTTCACGCCACCAGCAGGGCAGCAACAGGCTAGATCTCGGCTAGACCTCGGCTAGACCTCGGCTAGACCTCGGCTAGACCTCGGCTAGACCTCGGCTAGACCTCGGCTAGACCTCGGCTAGATCTCGGCTAGATCTCGGCTAGATCTCGGCTAGTTCTCGCCCGGCAGCACGACGGGGCCGAAGCGGGAGAGCATGCTCACGTACCTGCGGTGACGTGTCGTGGACGTGTCGTGGACGTGACGCCCGATCTTGGCTGCTCTCGGCTACTCCCGGCTGCTCTCGGCTGCTCTCGGTTAGCTCTCGGTTAGCTCTCGCTGCTCTCGCGCGCCAGAGCCCGAGATAGAGGACGAGGGTGGTGCGGAGGTGCGCCACGTACGCAAAGGGAAGAGGCGTGTTGCCGATACGCTCCATGGCGCCCCACGCGCCCGTTAAGTCGTCGACCACCTTGTGACGTGCATCGCATGGTTATGATTGTGATCGTGATGACGATGTTAGGTCGTGCACCACCTTGTTGATCGAGCGCAGCGCCTGGGCGCGCTCGATCGGGTCTGTCTCTGACGCGGCGTTTGCGGCGAAGCAGACCCTCCGCAGTCTGTTGAGGACGAGGATCGGGCCTAAGGGACGCGTGCGCGGGACGCGTCGTGGACGTGCCCCAAGCAGCAGCCGCGAGAGCAGGCCCCGCCGCTCGCCTCGCTTGCTGTCGAGCAGCTCCGA